CCCCCCCCCGCATGTGGAAATTTCATTCATTGAGACTTACCCGTGGAATATTCAACCCAGTATTTCTCTGATGAAAACGTACATTTCGGATGAATTGCACTCAGTCGTCGTTCGACTGAATTACGTCGCGGTACTATTTCTATTCTCTATGTGTGTTCGAGGTGCCTTAATCCATTTATCGATCCATCGACATTTCATTTCAATCTGTGGGTAATCATGATTGCTATGCAGCCATCATGCATGGGGGGATTATTTCGTGATAATGGAGTCGACGGGGCTGAAATTTTTGGGTAATTGGGTGTTTTGGCAGGCAATGACCCTCGAAATCTCAACATTGCTATTTTTACATCCAGAAGAATTATTTATTTGAATAAAATGTTTATACTTAATAAATGTTTTCTACTATTAATAAATCTTTATTTGATCCAAATAAATGACTTATCTCTGTATATAATGAAAAACTAAGGAGATTTAAAAGATAATAAAATAATAAAAATATCTTTAAAAAAGAAATATAAATAAATATTGAAAAATGATAAAAATCAAAATTCATTTCTGTATTTCTCCATTGAAATACCAATTTGCTCTGTGAAATACGAGCACGATTCACGAGTGCTCTTCACCGAAAATCCCTCTAAGAGAAGAACTACCTCTAAAAAAGAATTAAAACAAGAATTGAAGCTTTTAACGGAAAGAGAGAGAACTCTCCATTTTCCAGTGGAAATCATAAATTTTAGGTGGTGAGCGTCACCTGTTGACTGCAACGATTCCACCCACCACGCTAGTGCCTCTTCTCCACGAGCCCCGAATAAAAAAATAGTACATGAAAAAAGAGAAAATAAAAAATTACGTTTAATGGAAAAATCATGGAAATCCGTGGACAAACGTACAGAGGGAAATTTCCGGTTAGCGATGCTCGAGAGCTGTCGCGAATTTCCATGTCATTGGTGCGTTAGCGGTTATCGGATTTGCCGGAGAAAAAGTAAATATTTAACCCTAGACTGGTCACCATGCGAGGGAACTGCCGCAACACGTCGTTTTATTCACCTTGCCATCGACTGGTTAACCGGAAAAATTTGAGAAAAATTGAATTCGTCAATTGAAGTATCTGGAAAATTCTAGTATTTTTTTTTCAATATTGTATCCTTAATTCTGGGAGAAAAAAAATTATTTCCAACAGGTGAACAATTTTTTCCCGTGTTAAATGAAATTGCCTGTTGCGCGACGTTGCTGGGAACTCGCTAAACGCGCCCGGGAAGTGTAGAGTCGATTCGGCAACGCTGGAGCCTAAATAACACGGCGGCACTCTCCCGCAAAGGTGACTAAAGTCGCATTTTCACGTCAGGTGACCCGACTAGGGTTAACCGAATTGTCATAATATTTTTCACATCTTTTTTTGGGGAGAAATAGTGGACCTAGCGATTTGCGATATTTCGGAGGTTTTTATGAGTGAGTATTGACACATTTGGAGGGTGACTGGAGTATTTATGGGAGTTCTTTTGTGGAGATACTTGTGGAAGGGAAGAGATAACGAAGGGATTTTTCTGCTCCTAGGGAATATATGGAATTATCTTCATGACGGAAGATTTTCGGAGAGAATATAAAGATCTTTTTTCTATTCTGGTGGATACCAAAAAAGTTTGTTCAACTTTTTTCTCCGTGTCGATTTCTTTTTCAAGATATATCGAATAAGGAAGAACTCAATTTTCTATCGACATCGAATCAGAAAAGATATTCACATACTATTTTTGCTTTCAAATGGAAGCCTTGTAATTGACCGATTTTTCGATTTTCTAATTTTGATTGACAATAGTCTACACTGAGAAAAAAAATTCTAATATCTAAAACATATTTTCTTGAGACAAGTAATTTTTCTTCAATTACTCAATTCTACCAGACATCTCAACTCATGTGGCCCGAGAAAGGTCTCATGCTTTAAAATATTCTTGTACTCAAAATAATGGATATTACGAATATGTATCTGATTTCAAACTTTACAGGAAAATTTTACATGTTTTTTTCCAGGGGACATAGGAACTTTTCTGGCAACCATGTTTTCTGGGGAAAAATTTTCCGGAGATTTTTCTTCGGGGCATTTTTCACATTTTCCAAGTATTTTTTAGGCATAACGCTAAAGCCCAATCAAATTATCTCGACTCATTTTCCACCCCCCAATTCCTCCGAAAAATCATCGCTAAGAGGAATGAATCGCTCGATTAGTGCAAACGAAACACCAAATAGGGTTATGGCGCGTGAAACAACTGCCAGATAACTCGACTACCTAACGGACAGTGTCGAATTGGATAGGATACACATCTTAACCCTCCCCCACGCCCTCACTATTGTACCCCTGGGGTCAAAGTGTCCAAAAACGTGGACGATAGCATCTGGAGAGAAGCCAAAAGAGTGAATTCCTCTCACGTAACGCCGACATTGAATGCTTATCAGGCAAGCTCGTGTGAAATTCTTACGTTACGATACCATTTTGTGGAGAAAGGAAGGCTGGTCCTTTAGACGATACATTCCCCTTGCCTTCGAGAACAATCGTAATGAGGAAGTTATTCCAGGTGATCTCCGAAGGGAATCAAGTCATAAAGTCACACAAACACAAGATAAATACGATAAAGCAGAGAAAAATGAATAAAAAGCAAGTCATTAGTCTCTTTCTTCTATTTCTACTAGTTTCATTGGTAGTAAGCTTCCGAGTGGATCCGTAGCAATTCTCTATTCGTATGACAGACATCCCAGGCAGGAATTAACAAATGGCCCAAGCTTGGTCCAAGGGCGGCCCAACCTTGGCTAGTCACGAGCCAACACAGGCGTCCGAGGCTGGCCCAAGGCTGGTTGAGCACCGAAATGATAACGCTGGGCCATTCCTGGCCATCAAGACTGGGCCTGACTCGCCAGTCGTCAGCCGTGACTAATGTATATTGATTTAAATGATTAAAAAAAACAAAAATAATTTTCATTCGATCATTTTTGTCATT